GGGGGGGGGGGGGGGATGAAATAAAAAGAGAAATGTAAAAATAAAAAATCACTGGACGTGCGGTGGTCAGTGAAGAATGGCGATAAGGCACCAGTGTATGAGAGAATGGGGACTATTTTCATGGTGAAATAGCCGAGACGCCTCTGGATTGCCGGGTACGGGCCGGTACGGGATGAATTATGGGCGTCCCGACGCCACCCGTACAACCGACGCTCAATTTACAGATGATTTCGCGTGTTACCACTGGCCAACGGCCGGTTAACCTCGCGTCGGCCAAGCACTCCATCTTCCCCTTTGGAGGTTAACTTACTCCGAAGGATAGTGCCACCGTCGGGATACTGCTAAATTCCCCTCCCCCGATCGCCCCTATTCAAGGCCTTCATCTTTCAGTATAACTGTAGGAACGCGGACATCCCCCTCGGGTCCATAAACCTTTACACCCTTAGGATCGTCCATGAACCGCGTGCCAGGGGACCGCACTTGCCAGATTTATCGGCACTCAATGGCTCTGACAATGGGCCAACAAGTCGCTGGAAAAGGATGCCGCGATACGTCTTTCGGGGATTCCTCAGGTTATGTTCAACAACTCATAAACATCATCCCGCGATTATTCCCATGAATTGCGGCAATCTGCCTCGGTTTGTATCCCCAAATGAATGAGTGTCAACAGGCTAAATGACAGAGTTGATGCCCAACAAGATGAATAGCTTCGGTTGTCCGGCGGTGATTCCCGCATGTGAAGAAGACGGAAGTGAAAATGACCGTTAGAAGTACGGTAATTCGTTTCGAAGACGATCATTCACTCGGGTGAGAGAATATAGTGGTTAAATAAAGGGTTTTCCGTGGAAAACAGACCACGTGGTGGCCATCACTCAGGGCCAATTTTCACGGTGGTCCATGGTGAATGAGTGTGGGGTACAAACTGTGGGAGTTTTCGTATGAGACACGTGAAAACGTGCGGTTTCCTCGGCATGGGTTATTGGTGTGTCCCATATGGGGGTTTGAATGGCTACAGTGAACAGAAGGAGTGGCTGGTGACTGTCATTAGCCGTCGGCGACTATAGACTCCCTGTGGCGTTTACAAACAGAGAGGCTTTAATGACCAGAAGGCAATGTATCACAGGTGGCGATGCCGTGAGACGCGAGAGAAACGAGACGAGATGAGACGAACGAGGCGAGAGACGTGATAAGACGAGATGAGACGAGAAGAGTCATGCGAGACAATGATAGGAAGGAGACGAGACGAGACAAACGAGACGAGACGAGACGAGAAGAGTCATGCGAGACAATGATAGGAACGAGACGAGACGAGACGAGGCGAGAAGGGTCATTCGAGTCAATGACAGAAACGAAACGAGACGAGACGAGAGACATGATGAGACGAGACGAGAAGAGTAATTCGAGACAATGACAGACACGAGACGAGCCAAGCCGGTCGAGAACGAGAGAAACGAGAGGCGAGACGAGATTCCAGAGTGCCTCTCCTCTTTTCCGTGCAAATTGGATTATAGAGATATGATAAGGCGAGACGAGACGAGAGGAGAGAAGAAATTGCTCTCGTATTTCGATGTGAGACGAGACGAGACAATGATTTCCTGATAACGAGACGAGACGAAAAGATGCAGTTTCTCGTCGCGCGGCATCAGTGATCACAGGCTCAATCCAACATTCCGGTGTTGGATATCGTCTTTAGATGTGATTTCTCGATGAGACTTCGATCTAAACAGCCATATCAGTCCCAAATTTTTCAGAATGCTGTCCTTACCTTGCTGACTGCTCTTCCTCGTCGTTTTTTTCTCCTTCATCCACGGATATTCGGGCACATTGACACCAGAAGGATCCTGCACCCCATGTGGATCCATCATAATATGATAATTAGGATGATGACTGCCAGGGCTCATGGATCCAACGGTACCAGGTGAGTGTTGAAGTTGGCCGTCGCCACCGAGCTGTGGCATTGCTGACAGCTCAGCCATCGATGGCTGACTATTGATAAAACCAGTCTCGGCAGGACCGCAATTTGGATCCATGGTTGGATGGGTACCGTGCGGAGGCAGATTGGCCCCAGCACCTGCCCCCGCGGCCACCGAGGCCAGCCAAAAGCCGCCACCAGCTCCGGTTGTACCGGAGCACCCGTCGTTCGCCAGGACGGGTGTTGGCGACCGCGTTTTCACCCTCTCGATAACTTCCTTGTCGTCAATCACAAAATCGTTACTGTCCAACCGGAGCCCAATGCTCTGGTGGACTAGTTCACAGGCAGTATCTTCCTGGTGAAACGAGTGCTGCTTGCCACGCATCAAACTCCAACGCTCGGTAGTGCTCTCCACCTGGTGATCAGCATGGATTTTCCAAAATTTCTCCTAAGGATCACTGGTGTCACGCTGAACTCAATACCATTCACTCACTGAACACTTTGGATTTTCTCAATATCATAATCCTATCCTATTCACCAACTCAGGCACAAATAATATCACTGGACATTGCCAAAGTACTAACACTCGATTGCTCTTCAGCGAAACTCCCCGACTCGGTGCGGATTAGCAGACACTGTCGCGACGAGCGTTCGCGGAATGAAGGATACCGAAGGTAGGTGGGGAAAAAAAAATTGACTGGTGGGAATGTGTCTCCGTAGTGGTGTGCAAAACTTGGAGTTGAACTCCCAATGGCGAACAATAATGAAACACAGTGGTACGAGTGAGTCTCAACGCGAGTTGAAGGAGGACGTCATTCACCGCGGAATCCTTGTCCGCTGAGGTATGTATTTTTTATCCTATTTCTTGAAACCGGTGAATTTCTTCGGCATTCACCCCGGCGTATCTCTGTTGATACTGTTGTCTCGCTTCCTTCGTCTCCCAACGCGGTGGCTGGCCAGAGTGTCTTGTGCGGGTTTGGCCACGTGACCCTGGTTGAGCCAATGGGTGTGCGGTATCGGAGGCCCGCGGAGGCTTCTACCCTCTCCTCCGGTGAACGGGGGCGTGCTCGGCCCCCCTTGCGGGTGGCTACACGCTCAGGCTGGCTGGGGTACCCGTACAACCGCGCGCGGGGGTTTTCTTATTGCTCTTGCTGCGATTATTCTCTATCGCGGAATTGCTCACACCACGGGCTGGCGTCCAGACGGCGCGAGTGCGAGCTAGCGACTCGAAGGGATATCATGATGTGGTGAAGGCAAAGGCGGCCACGATGTACCCGCCAGCCCGTGGGCGGGACGCGCGAGCGCGTCTCTATATCCTGGTATACCAGAGGTTTCACCAGTGGTGGGGGGGTGCACCATCACGTGCTCCGACCACGCGGTTTCTACGGGAGGTACCTGTCCCTTTTCTGCAGGTAGGCTCTAGTTATACTGAAGTGGCTTTTTCACGTTCAGTAAAAATTGTACATTTTTTTTTAGCACAATTTTTTAATTAGCCGGGTGCATGGCCGAGTCGGTAAGGTGTCCGCCTACAAAGCCAGAGGTCCTGGGTTCGAAACCTGGCACCGGTGAAATTTTTTCTGGATTATTTGATTTAGTCAAATGATATAAGGACACCAATGTGAATATTTGAAATAAAATGTTAAGATATGGAGAGAAATAGAATTAATCATGGTCGAATCATGTACAAACAACCTACAGTTTCCACGTGTCTCGAGAAAATAACTGACTACAGTTGAGTCTCACCATCGTGTGTGATTGCATTCCGATCATTCACTTGAAATACTGTCATAACATCGTAACCTACAAGTTACAGAGGAAATAGTCGTGAGCTCTAACGTCAAGAACGAGTCGAGAGCCCGTCGCTAATAACCTAGCTGTTGATGTGACGTTAAATCCAAACAAAGAAAGAAGAAAGAAATAATTTTTTAATTTTCCGATAGGAAGTTATTGGTTTCATCGCGCAAATGAAAAATCGTAATTTCATGAAATGTCGACGTTTAATGAGTGGAAGTTCCCCAGATGGTTTTTTTTATTTAGAAAAGTGTGTGTGTATGTGTATGTAGGCACTTTTTTCGTTAACGCTCCCTGGCGAACGCGTATTGCGATCGAAATGAAGTTGGTCGCGATCGATAGCCATTCACTTGCTTAAGACTGGATTAGGTTGGGAGAGAAGACCCCCCCCCCTTTTGAGTTTTTCAAAAAAGAACTGTCACATTGAAATTCGGGAAATTGGAATTTGTAAGAACGGAAATGTTTCGTAATAAATTGCCAAATTTTCAATTTCAAATTCTTAAATATTTTTTTTGTTTACCAATTGCAAATATAATTCCATTGGATTAATGAACATATTATGTTCCGTCAAATTAAGAGTCGAGAGAGACACTCAATGGCGAATAATTTACGTAAAATAAACGATATATTTCATAAAAGTATTTTTATACAAGTTTTTAAGATGTGTATATAGGCATAATGGTTCTTTAAAAAAAAAATCTTCTTGAACTAAAATAGTAGGTTCTAGTCATGACTATTCTTTCGAGACTTTGAGGTTATTCGTGATTGATTTTAGCAAATGAATTAATATTCATTCTCATGAAACATTGTACTGTCACGAGGTGCCAAAAAGTCGATCAATTGATGAAAAACAATGTAATGAGAACAAAATTTTATTCCACAAAATCAATAATACCCTTTTGGTATTGATATTTCTTCATCAGAGCGCCTGCCGTAACTGTCAGTCTCGTCTCGCTGATCAGCTGATCACGTGGAGGCCATTTTAGATTTTCGGGCTCACGTGATTGATCGCAGGCGTCGGATTCGCCATGAAAGGTATTTCACTTTGTATATCCCTTAGGAGAGTGGGAAATTCGTCTGCGATATAGTTCATTCTTTGTTTTCTGCACAACTGCAGTATATATTCTAAACCACATGTACAGGTCCGAGTAATTCTCCCCGCGATTTATCGCTCTGTAGTTGCATTTGCGCTTTCTGATGACTCCTGCGAAAGTTTCCGGGGTGCATTTAGGTTTTGTAATTATTTCTCGGGTGTAAAATATTGGTGAATGCGGGTGAAGTATACATTGTCTAAAATTTTTGTCTGAAATTTCCGGTACACTTGTTGAAAATTTTTATCGAATTTAATTACCGCAGAAATTTCAATGAATTCCGTCACTGAAAATTTAGAATTTCGCGGAAAAATCAAAGAGAACTGTAAACTTCAGTTTCATTTTTCCCTGAAAATGAATAGAAAACCAGAAAATTCCAGTAAAGATATTCTTGAATTTTCGGGATAGTGACACTGAATGCGATTTAGGGGAAAAAATCATGAAATTTCAGATTTCACTGAAAATTCAATGTCATTTGGCACTAAATATTCATATTAGATTGGAAATTCAAATAAATCAAGGAATTCTCCTCTTTACGCTGCTTAAAATTCTGAAATTTTATTGAATATTCAGTGAAACCTGAAATTTAATTTTTTTCAACAGTGTATTTTCTAACAAATATTTTATTTAAAATTCAGATTATGAGAAATTCTTGATACATTCTGTGGAAAAAAAACTATTATTATATTTTACTGAAAAGAATTATTATCATTTCAAATAATTGATTTTTCAGTTTTATAATTATTACATTTTCATTATTATTACTATTCTTATTCTTCTTCTTATTATTATTATCATAGGTACATATGTATACTACGGTATATAGCCACGGTCCTTCTAACGGCAAATAATATAAAAAAATACATTTACACTACAAAAAATAAATTAATTTTTATATGACTTTTAAAAAAAATCGTAATAACTCATCGAATTTCTTGTGATGTAAAAAAAATAGACAGTGTCCATTTTGCCCCACCCTGCCCTAGCAAATGCATTTTCAGGAAACAAATAATTTTTTTCACACGAAAAAAATCATTTGCCGACTTTGAATTTCGCCTGTTAGAAAAAATAAATTGAATGGACCAAACCCATCTCTGTATACTATACCCTCACGGCCCGGTGTCATCGGTGACTCGCTTGGGGGCAGTCTTGATGACAGATTACCCCGATCGGCATTGTACAAGAGCGCTGATTTGGACAGCTCACTTGATCGAAAAGTTCACAGCGCCGCCTAAAAATAATAATAGAAAGAATTTTGTCCTAGTACCCGAGTCCCATGTAATCCATTTCACGTGGGTTCGATGTTCCACTGCTGCATATGTAAAAAGGGGAGTTACTTTTTCCCGCTCAATCAGAATTTCCAATCTTGCCCCGGAGGACAGTTTTTTCAGGCTTTATTATGCTAAATTATGAGTGAATGACGAAATTAATTCGTGTTATCTTTTTTATTTTTGATTGATCGGGTATTCTTATTTTCTGTCGATGTACGTGGGTTTTTTTTCTTCTTGACATTTTGACCCTTACTTACTGACCGTCGTCTCAATTTTATGGCCCAGTTTCAAGTGACGAATTCAATAATTTCAGGAACGAAGTAAAATGGTTTAAGTAGATTTTGGCTAGTGGCTAGTTTTCAATGAATATCTCGAAATCTAAGGGAGATAGCAAAGTATTTCTCATAACCTTTTTTGTAGAGCGAATTGAGTGCTATTAAAAAGGTTATTATGAAAATTTCGCTATCTCCCTTGAATTCGGAAATATTTATGGAAAACTCAACTAAAGACTAAATCCAGTTGAACCACTTCGCTACTGATTTATAATGCATGAATTTCATAGTACATGAATTTCTCCTTTTGTACATTTTGTTGACAACATACAATAGATCTCACAGTGGCAGTAATAACAATAATTACACACATTGATAATTGCGACACTTTTTCCGAACTGAAAGTCCTATAGTTGTAAAATTTCTCAATCTTTAGGGAAAAATTACGGAACGACTTGTCCCCACAGCGGCGAGTCATCAGACGGCTGGTTAATTTTTACGGAACAAATTGTAGAATCTACTCACGTAGAATAACTCACACTTTGTATTGAATTTAACTTCGCTCGCGAATTAAATTTCGAAACGTAATTTTAACTTTTTTTTCTGGTGATTTTTATTGAATTTTCCTCTCCGTTTATAAAAATTTCGGGCATTTTTATCTGAAGCAAATTTGATTGTACAGTACAATTTTATTGTATTTGATTTGGCAAAATTATTTTTTTCTCAGTGTACAACTTTCCAAACATTCTGCGTTTGGAGATAGGAAAATTGGGCGATATTTGTGCGATGATATCCCTATTATATTCCGCCTAGTGTGTCCACCAGGCATGCCTGCGGTGAAATATTTGATATATCAGAGGGAAGAGTGCTGCACGGGATTCAGAGCCACTGCAAGGGCACACATATAATCCCACCCTGACACAGCCTTTCTCTCTCCGCAGGCTGCCAGCGCTGAGTGAG